CTCACCCCCACCCCCCCACCCCCCACCCACCCACCCCCACCCCCACCCACCCACCCCCACCCCTTCACCCCCCACCCACCCCTCACCCCCACACCCACCCACCACACCCACACCACCTCCCACCCCCTTCCCCCTTCTCCCTGAGTGACCGACCCAGCCTGGCAACATAACCGCCACCTAACCCATATCCTGCAACATGCAAATGAAAGCAAGACAAATCCGACACCCGACCAATTACGGGAAACCTTGTCCTGCAAAAGCCCATCGCGAGCGGCGCCTCTGCGGACCGACAGATGAGACGACCGACCGACCGACGGGGGGGGGAGGAGGTGGGATGGAGGGGGAGGGGGTGAGGATGGAGGAGAGAGGAAGAGGAGGGGAGAGAAGAGAGAGAGGAGAGGAGAGGGGAGAGAGGAAGATAGGAAGAGGGTGGAGGGGAAAAGAGACAGGGGGAGGGAAAAAAGAGAGAGGGTGAGAGAAGATGGAGGAGGGAAAGAGAGGGGAGAGAGAGAGAGAGAGTGAGAGATAGAGAGGATGGGGTGACAGGAGAGAGGGAATAGAGAGAGAGAGAGAGAGAGAAGGGGGAGGGATGGAGAGAAGGAAAAAGAGAAAGAGAGGAGGCAGAAGAAAGAAAAAGATGGGGGGAAGAATGAAGGGAAAGAGAGAGAGTGGGAAAGGAAACGAAATAGACACATAAAAAGAGAGTTAAAGAGAGCGACCGAGAGACAAACAGAGAGCGTAGATCAGAGAAAAAAAAGAAAGAAAGAACAAAAGAGAGAGAGAGAGAGAAAAGAAACAGACAGAGACCAAACGGGAGAACAGAGACAGCGCGTGCGAGAGCCAGGCCGCACTCCACCCAATTCGATAACACAAATCCGCAAAGATTTTTGAACATTTCCGCGCAGAATTTTCAGTCGCATCGTATATCTGGCAGGGATTGTTGTGCCTTTCCAATTATGAATTCTCTTTTATGTTCTGTGAAATATAACTTTCGTATTACATCAGCATTTAGCCTGGCAGATGATTCTCTCTCGCCTCGACAGGGAATTACAGACCAAATGGCGAGTGGAAATGGGGTTGGCGCTTTTTGCGGGCGAATATGGTCGACCTCAAACACAGGCATTGGCGGCGCTGCTCGATCATTTACACACGCGCTGATATGCGTGGAAAAATATATATGCGAAGGGAGTTTGTATTTGTCTGTATATGTGTGATGACACAAACTCATACACAAATATATATGCATATATACATACGCTATATACAACGCATATACACATACGCATACACGCGCACACACACACACACACACACACACACACACACACACACACACACACACACACACACACACACACACACACACACACACACACACACACACACACACACACACACACACACACCGCACGCACGCGCACGCACGCACGCACATATGTATATATTTCTTTCTTTCTTTTCTTTTATTCTATATTTATATGGGTATGTACATATATGTATGTACGGCACATATACTTATGTATATTTCTTGAGATCTTGAGAACCGGTCACTGTGCGAAGATGAAACAGGCAAAGTTCAAGATCAAGTTTAGTGTCAGAATGAAGTTGATTGGATGACTGGTAATATATATATAATAGACATGATAATCGTCAGCCATTAATAAGAGGCCTAGAAGGACACAGAATAAGGTTCAGTGTGTGTGTGTGTGTGTTTGTGTTAGTATAGGTGTATTTCTCTATGCTTACATATGTTTCATATTCTGGATACCTTTCACAGAAACGTACATACACAAATACATGCTCGTACATACTATATCCACACATACACACACACACACATACGGGATTATATCTGCACCCACACATATATATGTCCCCAGATACATATATCCTCAAACACACACGTATGTCCAACTGTATCTACATACACACACACACACACACACACACACACACACACACACACACACACACACACACACACACACACACACAACAAACACAACACAACAAACTGCATCTCCATCCACACAGAGACAACAATCACACACAAACACACATTAAAGACACACACACACACACACACAGACACAAAACCATCAGCATAGCCATCAACACCTATGAAGTATTTATAAACCCAATCAACCCAACTTAGGAGAGGATTAACACGTGATATAAACCGCATGTTCCCTTTTAGTATGCAAATCAGAACGGAAACTACGGGTCCGAATTTCAACAGAAGCGGTCGCCTTTGCTGAAATCATTTTCGCGAAGGAGGGAGAAGGAGAGGAGGGGGAGAAGATGCGCGAAGATGGGGCAAGGAGGGGGGAGGAGGGGAAGGAGGGGGAAAAGAGGGGGTGGGGAANGAAGAAAAAAAAATCGACTTCTTCCTTGGGGTCTTAATTGGAGTTCTTAAGGAATGCACTGCGATTAATTAATGTTAATGAGGTCTGCTGTGTTGTGCGTACGTGTGTGTTGTGTCTATGTGTGCGTGTGGGAAAACAGGAGGGAGGGGAGGGGAGAGGGAGGGGAGGGAGAGGGGGAGGGGTGGGAAGGAAGGAAGGGAGAGGGGGGAGGGGGAGGTAAGGGAGGAGGGAGAGAGGGAGGGGGGCGGGGTGGGGGGTGTTACAATTGGATGGATATAAACACGGTATGTGTTCCTTCCTTGCTTAAGACGTTCGGGTTTTTCTCTTCTCTTCTCCGTTTCGTTTCGTCTTTTTTTTTCTCTTTCGCTTTGTATTCTCTTTTGATTTTGCTTCCGGTGTTTTCGCTTGTTCTGGTTTTCTCTTCAGTTTTTTTTCTTCTTCTTTTTGTCGTACTATCTCGTTTCTCTCATTTATTGTTGGTCTCCTATTTCTTTTGAAGATATTCGGTCATATTTAGAACATCGAGAAGAGAAGAGAGAGTGAGAGTGAGAAAGAGAGAGAGAGAGAGAGGGAGAGAGAGAGAGAGAGAGAGAGAGAGAGAGAGAGAGAGAGAGAGAGAGAGAGAGAGAGAGAGAGAGAGTTATTGAGAGTGAGAAAGGGATAGAGAGAGAAGGGGGGTTGAGTGAGAAAGGAAGAGAAAGAGAGAGAGAAAGAGAACGAGACGAAAGAACGAGACATACAAACAACATAAAAGACAGAGAAAAAAGAAAAAGAGAGACACATACAACCATTGTAAACTAAATTTTTTTTCCCACGACAGAAAGCACATCCGATCTAACACACATAAGTCCATACAAGACACGTTCTTTAACCAGCGTTTTAACATTATTCCAAAACCCAATACTGTATTTAGCGTCTTGTACCCTCGAAGAATCCCTGGTGTACTCCTGAGTAACGGGTACCATCGGGGTAAGAATTATTTACCATCTTTATTTTCACAAAAGATGTTACCTTTATTGACGATTATGATTGCTGTTAATTGACGTAGCTTAGTGATGATGGTATTATTAATAGATAGGATAAGAATTACTACCATGTTTATTTTCACAAAGATGTTACCTTTAATGACGATTATGATTGTTATTAAATTGTCGTAGTTTAAGTGATGATGGTATTATAAGTTAATAGGGATAAGAATTACTATGTTTATTTCACAAAGATGTTACCTTTAATGACGGTTATGATTGTTGTTAATTGACGTAGTTTAGTGAATGAATGGTATATTATTGATAGATAGGATATGTTTACGTCCACTGGATATGATTCCTTCGGTATTATGTCCTTTGTAATGACGATTATGATTGCTGTTAATTGACGTAGTTTAGTGATGATGGTATATTATTGATAGGTAGGATATGTTTACGTCCTTTGGGTATGATTCCTTCGGTCTTCGTTTATGTACTTTTTAATGACGATTATGATTGCTGTTAATTGACGTAGTTTAGTGATGATGGTATATTATTAATAGATAGGTATATGTTTACGTCCACTGGATACGATTCCTTTAGTATTATGTACTTTAGGGAAGATTAAGTAGGTAATCGTAATGTCAATGTGGGTGGCAATAAAAACGATTACGGTAAAACTAGTCTTAAAGTAACAATTTCACCTTCCAGTAATATCACAAAGTATAACCCGTCACGGATCATAACCCTCGCGCATTTTCCTCTAATAACCATCTATTTACACGAGGCGATACATTTCTTTGATAAAACGAAAGAATGCTTTGGGGTCTTTTTATGGGGTAGACTTTTTTTTTGGGGGGGGAGTAGGGGGGGGGTATTGATAGGTTTGAGATGAAAGTTTCGTTCATCGGGAAAATCTCTTTATGTAGATTTATACGTCTGTGTGGAGGCGAAATGTTATTTTGTTTCTTTTGTATTTTGTATTTACTTTTCTTGTTTTTTTTATCGTTTTTGTTGTTGTAGTTATTGCTTTTTCGTTTGTTTTTTTTTTTCTTTCTTGTTTATGTCTTCTCGATCTATCCATTACGTATCTATCCTTTTCTACATCCTCTCTCTTTCTTCCCTCTCTCTCCTTCCCTCCCCCTCCCTCCCCCCCGCCCTCTCCTCTCCTTACCCCCCCACTGACCCCAAACCCTCCTCCTCCCCCTCTCCCCTCTTCCCCCACCCTTCTCCCTGCCACGAATCCCCCGCAATTGACTCACGCCCGAAGGTGAGGGCGTGAAAAGTGTGATTAGGATTCGGGATCGGTCCCATGGGCGGTCGGGCGATGCATTTTACATCCTAGGGTCTTAGGACGGTCGCCTGGGGAGCTCACCCCCCCCATCCCCCCTCCCTCGCCCCCCTTTTAAACCCCTTACCCTCACTAACCCCCACTCTTCTTTCACTTACCCCCCTTTCCCCTCACTAACTCCTTCTCCCCTCACTAACCCCCTCTTCTTTCAATAACACCCTCTCCCTCACCCTTACCCCTCTCTTCCCGGCAACACCCGCACGTATCCCCCAACTAAATACCCCTTCCGCAGACCCCATTTCCCCTCTCCCCCTTATCACACCCTACCTCAGGCTTTCTCCCCTGCCCCCCTCGACCCCCTTACCCATTCCCTAATCCCCCTCTCCTCTCCCTTCCCCCTACCCCTTCACCATGCCCCTTCTCCTTCCCTCCTCTCCTTCTCCTCCTCTCTCCCCCGCCCTTCACCTGAACACCTCTCTTTCCTCTTCAATCCCTTCTCATATCATTTCAACCCCACCGCACTTCTTCTCCCTCCCCCTCCCCCTCCTCCCTCCTCCCCTCCCCTTTTCCACCCTGAACAACGCTGTCTTACCCCTAACCCTCCCCTTTTCCTCTCCCCCCGCCTCCTTCCCTTCCCCTTACCTGAACACCCTCTCTTACCCCTACCCCCTCCCCTTTTCCTCTCCTCCCCCTACCGCCTCCCCTTTCCTCTCTTCCCCCTCCCCCCCCTCCTCCCCTTCACCTGAACGCCTTTCTTTACCCCTCCCCTTTTCCCCTCTCCTCCCCTTCCCTTCCCTCCCCCCGTTTTCCCCCTTCCCCCCCCCCCCTTTCACCTGAACACCTCTCTTACACTCCGGGAAACGTGGTTCTTAACGCTGGCCGTGTGCACTCCCGGGGGACGTGTTATGACCCTCTCGCAAGCAGCCAAGCCACCGGAATTTCTGTTGCTTCCCCCTGGGGCTTTTTTCAACCCCCCGCTCGCTGCTGCTGCTCCTCCTCTCCTGCTGGTGGTGGTGGTGGTGAGGTGGTGGTGATTTCCTCTCCTGCTCCTGACTTCCTGGTTTCTGTTTTCTGATTTTCTTGCTTTTTTTTCTGTGGTTTTTTTTTTTTTTCGGGTTTTCTCTTTTTTTTCTCTCTCTTTCTTTCTTCTTTCGTCTGTCGTCTCTAATCTCTATTTTTCGTCGGATCAATAATCTTCCTAATGTTTCTTTCTATATTACTTTTTTCGCTTTTATCCTCCTCTTTTTTCTTCCCTCTTTTTTTCCTCCACTTCTCCTTCTTTCTCTATTCCTCCATTTCCTCCTGTTTTCACTCTCATTCGTTTTTTTGTTTTGAATCTCTTGTTTCATATATCTCTGTCAATCACTACTTACTGTAATTACACCCTTATTATCCCTATTATCTAACACCATCAGCGTTCACCATCATCATCATCACCATCACTATAATTATATTTCACCAACATACAGTCATCATCACTTTTTCTTCCTACGCCAAGTAAATAATTCAAAATGACAATGACAACAAAAGTTCAAAATGACAATGACAACACCAAAAGAAGAGAGAGAGAGAGGAAAAGAAAAAAAAACTTGGAGAAAAGCAACGAGTAGAGGAAGGTGCCAAGAGAGGGTGCCTGACACGTGAGGCAAGGATGGCACAGATCAGCCGTGTCTCTCGAGAGTGTCATTTTAAAGGGGAGAGGAAGTGGAAGGAAGAAGGGAAGAAGAGGAGGGATGGAGAGAGAGAGAGGAGGACGAGGAGGAGGAATTGAGATGGAGGAGATAGGATAGGAAGGAAGAAGGGAAGAAAGGAGAGGGATGGAGAGAGAGGAGGAGGAGGAATGGAGGGAAGAGATAGGAAAGGAAGGGAAGGGAAGAAGGAGAGGGATGGAGAGAGAGAGAGGAAGAGGAGGAATGGATGGAAGGAGAAAGGAATAGGAAGGGAAGGGAAGGAGAGGGAATGAGGGGGAGGACGAGGTAGGGTAGGAGAGGAGAGGTGGAATGGAGGAAGATGGAATTTTAGGAGGGAAAGGGAAGGAGTGGAAAAGGAGGGAGAGAGTAATAGAGGGAAGGGGTATTTTAGGAAGGAAAGAGAAGGAAGGAGGAACGGAAGGAAGAAGGGAGAAAGAAAAAACAGTGGAAAAGAGGTAAGAGGAAAGAAATTGTAAGGCAAATAAATAAAGGAAGGAGGGAATAAAAGATGGAAAGAGGGAGAGATACCAGAAAAAAACAAAAGTAGAAGGGAGAGAGAGGAAGGAAAAAATTAAGATGAAAAAAAAAAAAACACACCGTAAATGACAGACAGAAAGAACTGAACTCTTTTGCAAACATTTTCCGCTCTACTTAAATTAAAAATAATAATTTACCCATACAGAAAAAAAATCGCAAAAAAAGAAAAATAATACCCCCAGTGCGCAAAAATATAAATAGATAAATAAACAAGACGAAAAAAAATAAACAAAATCTCTCGCTAAAAAAAAAAGAAAAAAACACCGTCACTTGATTTAGCCGATGTGCGAATAAACAAGACGAAAGAATAACAAAACTCTCGCTAAAAAAAAAAAAAAATAATAAAAAAAAAAAAAAAAAAAAAAACACTTGATTTAGCCGATGTGCGAATAAACAAGACGAAGAAATAACAAAACTCTCGCTAAAAAAAAAAAAAAAAAAAAAAAATAAAAAAAAATAAAAAAAAACACTTGATTTAGCCGATGTGCGAATAAACAAGACGAAGTAATAACAAAACTCTCGCTAAAAAAAAAAAAAAAAAAAAAAAAAAAAAAAAAAAAAAAAAAAAGTCACTTGATTTAGCCGATGTGCGAATAAACAAGACGAAGAAATAACAAAAATCTCGCTAAAAAAAAAAAAAAAAAAAAAAAAAAAAAAAAAAAAACACCGTCACTTGATTTAGCGATGTGCGAATAAACAAGACGAAGAAATAACAAAACTCTCGCTAAAAAATAAAAAAAAATAAAAAATAAAAAATAAAAAAAAAAAACCGTCACTTGATTTAGCCGATGTGCGAATAAACAAGACGAAGAAATAACAAAACTCTCGCTAAAAAAATAAAAAAAAAAAAAAAAAAAAAAAAAAAAAAACACCGTCACTTGATTTAGCCGATGTGCGAATAAACAAGACGAAGAAATAACAAAAACTCTCGCTAAAAAAAAAAAAACAAAAAAAAACACCGTCACTTGATTTAGCCGATGTGCGAAAAAAATACCCCTTTGTAGATATCGCAAGCAGGATCCTGTCTTCTGTTTTCTTCTGTATCATTTCCAATTTCTTTTCACAAAGGACCTCTGCTCCTTCAGACGGCAATAAGTGATGCCCTTTGACACGTTTAGGTCGAGAAGTGCGTCTGCAGGAAGAGAGAGAGGGAAGAGGGAGAGAGAGAAGGGAGAGAGAGAGAGAGAGAGAGAGAGAGAGAAGAGAGAGAGAGAGAGAGAATGAGAGAGAGAGAGAGAGAGAGAGAGAGAGAGAGAGAGAGAGAGAGAGAGAGAGAGAGAGAGAGAAGAGAATAGAGGGAAAGAGAGAAATAGATAGAGTGAAAAGATATAAATTAACTGATTAATCAATCAAAAGGTTGATAAATGGACTTTTTGATGAATAGGTAGACTGATAGAGACATCACCAGGTCGGTTGGTAGACAGGCGAGGAGAAACACACAAACACACATACACACACAACACACACATATATATATATATATATATATATATATATATATATATATATATATATATATATATGTGTGTGTGTGTGTGTGTGTGTGTGTGTGTGTGTGTGCGTATAAAGGAAGGCATTTAAAACATGTATACACACACACACACCGAGAGCCCGACGACGGCACACTTCCCGAGGGCGGTCGGGCGGTCGGCATTGACGCGCCTCCTAAACAGGTCATGAAGAGGCATGAGGTCCGAGGTCATTCCCTCTGCCTCCATTTCCCCAATTTCCTTTCGTTTCCTTCATTCTTCTTCCTCTCGTCTTCTCCTTCATCTCTCTCTCTCTCTCCTTTTCTTCCCCAATTTTTCAATTTTCTGACTCTTTTTTTTCTTTTTTTTTTTTTTACTCCGTTTTAGCCTATTTCATTTACGTATCGTCTCCTCGGGCCTGCATTCCCCTCCCCTGCCCCCCCCTCCCCCCAACTTCAAGTCCTCTGAGTCCTGTTCCTCCCTCTCCTTCTCCCCCTGACCCCTCCCCTTTACTCCTGGCCCCTCAACCCCTCCCCCTCTCCCCCTCGCCCTTCCGACCCCCCTCGCCCCCTCTTCCCCCTCCCCCTCTTCCCCCCCTCGCCCCTCTCCCCCCTCCCCCTCGCCCCCGAAAATGTAGTTTAAACTTTTAGAGTATAAATGACCCCCCGAAGTACATTCTCAAAAACCAACTACCCCACAAAGCGCGCGCGGCGCCATCAGCGCCGCCTCCCCGGGGACTCGCTGGCGGCCATTTCCGCTCGCGACGCGGGCGGGTCGTGCGGGAATGGGCGGCGGGCGCGTCCGGGGCGCCATAACCTCCTCGCCGCCGCGCCATTCGGCATCTCCGCGCCACCTGCCTGATGGCGCTGAGGGCGCGGCGCCCCCCCCCCCACCCCACCCCCTGCCGTACCCTCTCGCCCTCTCCTCCTCCTTCCCTCTCCCCCCCCCTTCCCCAGCCCGACCACAGCCACTTCTCAAGCCCCAACCCTCCCCCCCCCTCCCCCCTCCCTCCCGCAGGTGTAGCGCCGTCGGCCATCGCGTGCACCGCCCCACGGCCCCTGCGTCGCCGCGTCCCCAGGGTGCCCCCCTCCCCCTCCCCCCTTGGCGTGGCGCTGTGCCTGACAAAAACGCGGACGCTCTTTACAACGCGCGTACATATGTTAGGCATATATACATATATATATATATATATATATATATATATATATATATATATATATATATATATATATATATATATGTGTGTGTGTGTGTGTTATATTTATCTAGATATCTATTCATGTGTTTGTATATGTGTGTGTGTGCGTATGCATATGCTTATGTGTGTGTTTGTGTACATATACATCATATACATAAGTACATATATATATATGCATATATATATATATAATATATATATATATATATATATATATATATATTATATATATATATATATATATATATATATATATACACATATAACACTTATTTTCAACCTCATGTCAAGCAATTTCTTAAAATACAACAACCTGAATCGAGTCTCACATGATTATCAACACTTTCCCCCAATTCCTTTATTTATCGTATTTTCTCTCTTTCTCTCCTTCGTAGGCTTGGACTCGTCAGACTCTATGAGCAAACCCTACGACGGACAGAACCTCAGCCTCGGGAAGAAGAAGAAAAAGAAACGAAGACATAGGTAAGTGGCGTGATGATGGTGGTGATAAGGATAGGAGGGATAATGATGATGAAAATGATGATAATGTTAATAGTAATAAGAGTGATGATATTGGCAATGATGATAATGATGATGATGATGATAATAGTAATAACAGTGATGATAATGACAATGAAGATAATGATGATAGTAATAACAGTAATGATAATGACAATGATAATGATATTAATGATAATGATAATGATAACAATAGTAATAAAGATGATCATAACAATAACAATGATTGTATTAATGATGATAATAACAATAGTAATGATGATGATGATAATAAGGATTATAACAATGATATTCAGGATAACAATGATAAAAACGATAAAGATGATAATGAAAATAGTGATAATCAACTATTATAATAACTACTATAATGATAAATGATATTACAATGATTATTATCATTACTATTGCTGTTATTATAACCATTGTGAAAACAATAATAATCAATATTGTCACTGGCAGTATCAAAATATTCAAAGTGTTATCATAACAATGATCATTCTAGTTATTAATAACATCATTATAATTAAGATCAGTATTATCAAAATAGCAGGGATAGTATTATTATTATCCGTTTTATCGTCATCATTATGATCATCATTGCTGTTTTTAGCATAATCGTCATTATCATCATCAAATCATCCTTTTAACATTATCAATATCATCATTATTATCATTTATCACCGTTCTTGTTGTCGTGTTTCTGCATGTACAATGTTATCGTTATCTCATTTATGTTATTCACTATTATGTTGATATCGATAATAAAAACGATAATGAATTGTTGTTATCTTCATCTTGATTTCATTATAAATGTTATTGTCGATGTCATCATTATTGCCATTGCATTATCATCATTTTCATAATTTCCATCAACATCGAAATATCTATTTATAACTATCATTATTATTCTCAACATCGTAGCTATGTTATCATTACTATATAGTCATCAGTCATCATCATTATCATAATCAAATTGACTGTACTGACTGGCATAATATACCTTATTCATATCACTATCTTTTCCATTGTTACACATTCTTCTTTCTTTAATATACTTTTTATTTGTACCTTTATTTTTCTATACCACTATATTGCAAACATTGACAGCGTTGGCTTAAACAATAAGCATTAGATTTTAAATCATTCATGCACACATACATACATGTATACATAAATACATACGTATATAATACATACATACATACATACACACACATATATACATAATACATATATATTACATACTTACATACATACATACACACAAACAGACATATACATACATACATACATGCATACACACCACGCACACATACATACATACATACATACATACATATAGAACAATGGGGGAAAGAAGGATGAGGAGAGAGAGAGAGAAAGGGGAGAGGGAAGGGAGAGAGGGGAGTGATATATGAGGATGAGAGAAGGGAGAGAGAAATGGAAGAAAGAGGAAAGAGAGAGAACAGTGAGAGGAAAGAGAAGGAGAGAGGAAGGATATGTAATATAAAGAGAAATGAGAGAGAGAAAACGATAGGGAGAATTAAGAAGATGAAAAAGGACAAACCGAGAGAAGAATTGGAAAATGAGAGAGAACAGAAAGAGAGAAAGGAGAGAGGGAGAAGGAGAAAGGAAACAGGGTAAAGGGATAGCAGGAGGAAGGAGGAAGGGGGTACGGGAAAGGAAAGCAGTAGGGGGGGGTAAGGGAAAGGGAAGGGGAAGGGGAAGAAGTAGCAGGGTTGGGGAAGCAGGAGAATGGGGAGGGATATGGAAAAAGGAAGGGGGAGGGAAAGCAGGAGGAGGAGAGAGGAGGAAGCAGGAGGAGGGAGGAGGGGGTACGAGAGGGAAGCAGTAGGGAGGTGTGTGGGGGGGGGGGGGGAGATACGGAAAGGGAAGGGGAAAGGGAAAGCAATAGGAGGGGAGGGAGAAGCAGGAGGGAGTTGGGGGGTGGGAGGAGGGGGGAGGGGGCCACGAGAAAGGGAACCAGTAGGGAGGGTGGGGGGGATACGGAAAGAGGAAGGGGAAAGATGAAGCAATAGGGAGGGGAAAGGGGAAGCAGAAGGGATGGGAGAAGGGGTGGGGGGATGAGGGGGGGCAGGCTGACGAATCGCTGACAGGCCTGGGTGACACAGCGACAAAGAGGGCGCGTGCTGCAACATCGCTTCAGGGTCAACGCTACGTAGGCCAGTTGCAAGTTGCAGATGTCACGTGGGTCATTGCGTGACCGGCTGGCTCCTTGGGGGTTTTGGGGGTGGGTGGGGGGGGGGTGGGGGGAGGAGGCTCTCTCTCTCTCTCTCTCCTCTTTCTCTCTCTCTCTCTCTCTTCTCTTCTCTCTCTCTCTCTCTCTCTCTCTCTCTCTCTCTCTCTCTCTCTCTCTCTCTCTCTCTCTCTCTCTCTCTCTCTCTCTCTCTCTCTCTCTCTCTCTCTCACACACACACTCACAAACATCACACACACAACTACACACACACACACACACACACACACACACCATCACACACACACACACACACACACACACACACACACACACACTACACACACACACACACACACACACACACCACACACACACACACACACACACACACACACACACACACACACACACCACACACAAACACACCACACACACACACACACACACACACACACACACACACACACACACACACACACAACACACACACCACACACACACACACACACACGCACGCACGCATACACACGCAAATACACATTACCTATATTCTTACCGGTCGCAAGATGCCAAAGTGTCTTTAGTGTTCCGGTGCAAATGACTTAAGGGAAAACTATCCTCTTTCTCCCTCCTTTATCTCCTCCTCCCTCCCTTTCTCCCTTCCCTCCCTTCCTCCTTTCTTTCCCTCTCCCTCCCTTCCTTTCCTTCCTTTTCCCTCTCCCTTCTTCCTCTTTCCTTTCCCTCTTCCTCCTCCCTCCTTCCTTTCCTACACCTACCCTCCCTTCTCCCTCCCCTCCCTCCTTCTTTCTTCGCTTTCTCCCTCTCTCTCCTCTCCCTCTTCCTCCCTCCCTCCTTCCTTACTACCTATTCTTCCCTTCCCCCTTCCCCTCCCTCCCTCCTTTCTTTCCCCCCCTCTCCCTCCCCGTCCCTCCTCCCCTTCCTTTCTCCCCCCCCTCCCCTCTCCCTCCTCTCCTCCCTCTCCTCTCCTTCTTCTCCGTCCCTTTCCCTCCCCTCTCCCTCCCCTCCCTCCTCCCTCCTTCTCTTCTCCCCCCTCTCCTCCCACTCCCTCCCACTCCCTCCCTCCTCCTTTTCTTCCCCCCCTCTCTCCCTCCCCTCCCTCCTTTCTCCCCCTCCTCTACCTCCCCTCTCTCCTCCCTCCCTCCTCCTCCTCTTCCCCCCCCCTCTCCCTCACTCTCCCACTCCCTCCTCCCTCCTTTCTCCCCCCTCTCTCCCCACTCCCTACTCCTCTACCTCCCTCCTCCTCCCCTCGCTTTCTTCCCCCCCTCTTTCCCTCCACCCTCCTTTCTTCCCCCCTCTCCCTCCCACTCCCTCCCCTCCCCTTTCCCCTCAATAGGAACGGCCATTGAGGGGAATTGAGGCAGCGACTGCGATTCTTTCGGGCGTAATTATGCGGGGAGAGGAATCTTTTATAGGCCTATGAATTGATGCGCGGTGGGTGGGGTGAGGATGGAGCGGGGGTGAGGGGGGGGAGGAATGGAGCGGGGTGGGGGGGGGTGAGGGGGGAGTAAGGGTGGGTGGGGGGATGGAGTGGGTGGGGTGAGGATGGAGGGGGGGAGGATGGAGGGGGGTAGAGGATTGAGGGGGATGGAGGATGTAGGATAGGGGGTGGTGGTGGTGGGGTGGGGGTGAGGGTGGAGGGGGAGGGAGGAATGGAGGATAGATGAGTGGATTATAGGGGGTGTAGAGGATGGAGGGGGTGGTGGAGGATTGAGGGGATGGAGAATAGGGGGATGGAGAAGGGATGGAGGATAGGGGGTGGAGGAAAAGGGGGGGGGGGTGAAGTATGGGGGGAAAGGAGGAAGGGGGGATGGGGCGTATGGGGTTGGGGAGGAAGGCAGTTGAGGTGGAAGGGCGAGGGAAGGGGTGATGGGGGAGAGGGGATAAGTGGGGGGGGGGAAATAGTACCATTATTATTATTATTATTGCTTATTATCAGTAATTGTTATTATCATTATTGTTATTATTATTCATATTGTCATTATCATTATTGTTATAATCATTTCTAATATCATTATCATTATTATCATTATTTCGATATTATTATTATTATCATTACTATTAATATTGCTATCATTAATGTTGTTATTGTCATAACTATTATCATTATCATCATCATCATCGTTATTATCATCATATCCTTATCATTATATCGTTATATCATATTGTTATCATCATTATCATCACTGCATTCATCCCTATGATCATTATCACCATCATCATCATTATCATTATCATAAATACTGTTATCATTACCATTATTATTGTTGTTGTTATTATTATTACCATTATTATCGTTGTTATCATCATTATTATCATTATCATTATCGTAATTAGGATCCTTGTCATTATTGTCATTATCATTACTGTAGCTATCATTATTTGTATCATTATTATTATTATTAACATTATTGTTACTAATGCCATCACCATTATCATTATTATTACATCATCATCATTGTTTTCATCATTGTCATTCTTATTACTATCATTGTTGTTAATGCTATTATCATTGCTATTATTAGTAGTAGCCTTTTAATCATCATCATTATTATAATTGTTAATGTCATCATTATCATCATTATCACTATCATCATTTTATCATTATCATAGTTATCATGATTATCATTGTTATTGTTATTATCAAAATCATTATCATTGCCATTATCATAATCAACTCTTCTATTATTATCAATATCATTATTCATATCAACAACATTATCACGATAATGAAAGAAAAAATAAT